CAAGGCCCCATCCACTTGGGAAGGAGCTTGCGAGAGATGTCTTGCTCAAGGCTGAACTCCGCGGCGGAGACCCAAACCAGATCGCCAGCGCGGAACGGGCAAGGAAGGCGATTGCGGTTGGCTTGACGGCTCATCCGTATTCGCGTCTTTGACATCTGATCCCGTGCCTTGACAAGAAGCTCTTGCATGCGACGAAGGAACACAAGATGGTCGTCGCTCTCGGCTGTGCGCGGCAAAGTGGCGTCCAGCGACGATGAGATGGGTGAACCATGCTCAAGCTCGAATGGCGACATCCCGATAGCCGGGTGGATTGATGAGTTGTAAGCCAACTCAACGTCTGGCAAGCGCTCAACCCAATCAACCTGGTTGGGACGGATGAGAGTGCGTAGAAGGACTTGGGCGGTTTGATGCGCCCTTTCCGTTTGACCATCGGTTTGCGGGTGGCGAGCCGAACTCGGCTTCAAAGATGAGCCCCATCGCTTGACGAGGGCAACCCAAAAGTCGGAGAGAAAGCGAGTGTCCCGGTCGCAAACGATCTCCTTGGGGTAGCCCTTGGAGCGAATCCAACCGGTGTAGAAGACCTCGGCTAACTCAGGTGCCTTTGCGTGATAGCGGCAAGGCAAAAACATGGCGTACTTGGTGAGGCGGTCGACGACCGAGAGGATCCCATCAACGCCGGTCTTGTGCTTCGGGAAGGGGCCGGTGATATCCATAGCAATTGCTTCCCGTCGCCCAAGGGGCACTGGTAGTGGGTGTAGCTCACCGAATGGACGATGGTTGAGTGACTTGCAACGCCGACAGACTTCGCACGACTCACAATAGCGGGTGGCGTCCTTGAAAAGGTCGGGCCAATAGAACCGCTGGCGAAGTCGGCCAAGTGTACGGTTGACACCAAAATGTCCGGAAGCGGGCGCATCGTGAAACTCGCCAAGAAGCCGTGTGCGCAAGTGTGAATCACTCGGCACACAAAGAAGATCCTTACCCCGTGAATGCACAAGTAAGTAGCCCTCTTGGATCCAATAATGCGAAGGCACCGGATTCGGAGAGGAGCAATTCGCGTACTTGTCGCGAAAGTGGGGGTCGGCTTGATAGCCGCGGATGAAGCTCTCCCGCAAGTCATCGTCGATCTCGAAGGTAGAGTAGACTGCGGTGCAAAGATCCGGTCGCCGTGAGAAGGCGTCCGCAAAACGGTTTGACTTCCCGGGAATGTGATAGAGGAAAAAGTCAAACTGGTTGATGAAAGTCATCCAACGGGCAATGGTACTGTTAATCGTGTCTTGCGACTTGTAGAATACCAACGGATTGTTATCCSTTACCCATCGGAATGCTTTCCGACCAAGGAGGAAATGTCGCCAACGCTTGAGGGCGTGGACGAAGGCAAGAAGCTCCTTCTTCCGTACGTCGTCGATCGAATGCACGGGAGGTACTTTCTTGCTAAAGTACTCGACCGGGTGCCAGTCCGTGCCATCGTGCTGCTCAAGGACGGCCCCAATGCCATAGCCCGACGCATCGGTAGTGACGCGCGTAGCTAGAAGCGGGTCGTAAATATGTAACACCTCGGCGGACAARAGTGYCGCTTTGAKTRTCTCAAAAGAATGGCGCGCGTCGTCGTCGAAGTCAAAAGGCCACTCCTCGCTTTGTAACTTGCTTAGGTTGGCCGCGATCTTCGAGTAACCCTTGATGAAGCGCTGATCATAACCGGCCAAGCCGAGGAAGGATTAGACGTCCGTCACATTCTTCGGCTCGGGCCACTCCTGGATGGCTTGAATCTTGTCCGCCAACGGACGAATGCCTTCCGGAGAGACAAAATGGCCCAAGTATTCAAGCTCTTGCCGGACAAACTCACATTTGTCGCGGTTAGCTTTGTACCGGGCTGACCGAAGAGTCTCTAGAACACGGCGAAGGTGCTCGAGATGCTCCTCKAGAGTTCGGCTATAGACGAGGATGTCGTCTAAGTAGACCAAGACGAAGCGGTCCAACATAGCGCGAAACTCGGTGGTCATGGCCACCTGAAAGGTGGCCGGGGCATTGGTGAGGCCGAAAGGCATAACTACCCACTCAAAATGCCCATATCGCGTCTTAAAAGCGGTTTTGTACCGATTTTGCGGGCAGATGGAAATCTGATGGTAGCCCGACTTGAGGTCCAACTTCGAAAAGTACTTGGCGCCACCCAACCGCTCAAGCAAATCGTCAATGCGAGGTAGAGGCCCCACGTTCTTGATGGTTTGCGCGTTGAGGCGTCGGTAGTCAATGCAAAGTCGAAGGTCCTTGTTCTTCTTCCGAACGAAGAGAACGGGCGCACCGTAAGGTGAGCTGCTGGGGCGGATCCAACCCTTGTCAAGTAGATCGTCGAGTTGCGCACAGAGAACCGTGAGCTCCTCCTCGGACATGCGGTAAATGCATCCTTTCGGTGGCATGGCGCCGGCCTCAAGTATGCTCTCGTGAGAGATTGGTCGGTCCGTCACGATACCGGAGGGTGTCTCAAAAACATCCGAGAACTCGTCTAACAACCGGGTCACACGGGGGTCGGAAGACACATCTGTGGACGATGAATCGGTCGTCGGGACGGTTCGAAGAAAAGCGATGTCAATCTCTTCGACATGCTCGGAAYGGCATGTGTCGCGAAAAGATTTGGCACTCTCGACTTGGCACCTAATGGAAGAGCGAGGAGGAGGAATAGTACACGGAACGTCGGCGCCAGTTGCATCACGAATCGTGAGCGTGCGTCGATGGAAATTGATCGTGTGGTCCGCGCTAGAAAGCCAAGGCATCCCCAAAATGACATCGAAGTCGGTGTCCAACACGTCAAAAGTGACGGGTTCACATGCGTGCGGTGCAAAGTACACCGGGACAGCCGAGATGTAACGGTCTAAAAGCTATTTCGTCTTACCGTCGGCAAGAGCGACCGTCGTCGGGTGTGACTTCCTCCGTACTTGTGCGCCAAGGCCAGCCCGAGTCATGAAGGACTGGCTGATGAAGTTGCGAGTTGCGCCGCAATCTAGCAAAGCGTTGCAGGCCGCTTGCCCAATCTGAATGCGAACGTAGAGCAACGGTGCGTTGTTTTCTTCGTACCGCTGCGAGACAAACTCGCGGGCCACCTTGGCAACGTAGCCAAGCATGTCCCCCACCTCGACTTCGTCTACCGTCGGCGAAGTTGGTGGTGCATGGAAGGAAAGATACTCGTGTAACAGGGTGCATAGGGCTGCGCTTTGCGGCCCCGGAAGGTTGCCCGTCGTAGGGAGAGGAATCCAAGCGAAGTCCTCGGGCGTGAGCACATGTATCTTGTCCTTGAGAAGCATCCAGTGAAGGAACGAGCCGGGCAGCGAAGTCTTCGAACGAAAGTGGAAGACTCCCGACATCCGCATATGCCTCGGAAGAAAGGGCGGTCGTGCGCACAACCGCTTCCGATGGCGTCAAGGGAGGTGTCGAGTCACCCTTGGCGGCACCTACTTTCCCTGACGGGGTTTCCCCTTGGTGGGGCAATGTGCAGCATCGTGGATGGTGTTGTTGCACCAAAGGCAATAACGGTACTTGAGTCTCGTGCGATAAGAATTCGCCGAGAGTCCGTATTGTGCCCAAGGTTCGTCGGCGGCTGATCCGGTGCTCGGTGTAGAGGTGGACTGAGTCTTCGTCTTGTCGCGGCCGTGGTTGTTGCGCGGCTGGCCACCATCCCGGGCAACTGCCAACACTTCACCCTCGTTTGGTGTTGCAGCCTCGGTAGAAGTAATGCAAGCCACCTTTGGCATGGGCTGGGTGCTGCTCGTCGTCGCAGAAGATCGGCCGGCGTTGCGGGCTTCGATATTCGTGAGAAAGATCCGTGACGCTGTCTCTGCAATCTGAGTCAGCGCGTTTTGCAGAGCTGGACACGAGCACATGATAAACAAGTGCTTGATGGCGCGGAATGCGAGCGGCAGGTCAGGTGTGGAGGCGAGTCTTTGGAACTCGGTAATCCAATCCTGACTGAGCAACGTGTTCTGATGGAGCTTGTTGAGCTTGTTGAGCTTGTCCATCGCTTGCAGGTCGGGCGGCTCCACTTGGAATCGCTTGTGCCAGGCGTCGGTCAACTCCTGCCAAGTGAGCTTGGTGTGCAGTTCCGACACTGCTACGYCGTGGCTGGTCAAGATGTTGTCCAGCCATGCTTGACACGCACCACCAGATCGGTGGTACAAGCACGGATGTCGATCGTTGTTCGGGACATGGTGCATGTCGAGCCTGAGAGTAAACTGGCGCCACCACGGGATCGGTTCCGTCTTGGACTGATCGCAGAAAACTGGAATGTCATCCAGTTTGGGTGAGCGCCGGGAGGATGCGGCGGCGGGCGTCACGGTGGCAGCAGCCTGGACCTGCGTCTCCAACTGCGAGTTCGTTGCTTGCAGCGACGTCCGGAAGTCCTGATGCACACGCTTGATGTTGCTGACGTCATCCTCCAAAACTTGCACACGGGTGGTAAGGTTGGAAGGCCCTGCGGCTGCTACAGCAGCTGGCTGTTTCTCCAACGCCTGCAGCCGTGCGAGCATCTGGTCCACTGTCTGCTGCAGGTGAAGGATTTCCTCCTGCTGCAGAGCGCAGGTGGCCACGAGGTCGTGGGAGACCTGCGCAAGGGCTGACAGCCCTTTSTCAGTCTCCGGGGCCCCGTCYGCAGATGYCWCTTCCACCCAATGTGCGRCCTCATCGTCGATCACGGTCTCCCGCGTGAACAGTCGTTCCCGCTGGCGTGACCGGTGTTCGGCTGCCGCCTGCAGGTCTGCCTCTTCTTGACGAAGTCGGTCCTGTTCCTCCTTCTGCCGCTTGGCCTCCTCCTCTTGTTCAAGCCGATTACGTTCCTTGGCCGCGGCGGCAGCCCTATCGTTGGCCTCCTGAATGAATGCCGCCAGGCGTTCCTCATAGGCCAGGAGGGATTCTCCCGCCGTCCAGTCCATGGCCTTGGTCTGTGATCGAGTGAGCAGTGTCATGCACTGCTGTGCCCGAAGTCTGAAGAGTCCCCCGAGGGCCAATCTGATGGACTGGCCCGGTACCCGGACTGGGGGGGGGAGGAACAGGTAGGCAGCGGACAGGTGGGAAGGATCGGACAGATCCAAAATTCAACAGTTTCCTAATCAAAAAAGGGAGAAAAAAAAAATAAAAATAATAATAATAATTTTGATTAAGAAGAAATAAAGCAAAATTCGAGAAGAAAGACTGTTCAATCCCACTGAGTGCCGAAGGTGATGCAGAAAGCAATTGTGAACCTTCGGTGCTCAAACTGCAGAAAATCAGAAAAGAAGTATCTTTACAAACTCAGAGTAGGAGTAGGTTGCAAGAAAGAAAAAAAATGCCGTTTTTTTTTTTTTTGAAAAAAAGAACGGAATTTGCAAACCTACGCAGTGAAAGTGCAGAGGGACAGTTTCGGAAAAAAAAGAATCACGAAATTATCAAAATGCAGACATTTAACAATTAAGCAAGGTAAAAAAATTCGGAAAAGGAATTCTCAAAACGAAAAAAAAAATTCTCGGAAACCAAATTTCGCAGAAAAATAATTTTTCGGAAAAGAATAATAATTTCTCGAAGAACTTCCTCAGAAAAAAAATATAATTTCTCGGAAAAAAAAATTCTCGAAAAAAGAAATAATTTCTCGGAAAGAACTTTCTCGGAAAAAGAAATAATTTCTCGAA